TATAATAAAAAGAACCCACAGTAATAAGACTGGCCTCACTGCATCCATTAGTCAAAGTATTTCAGAGAAGAGATGCTTTGCTATCTGCTTTCTCATTCTGATTCTACTGAATCAGGCAAAGGGTTCATTTCATGCAACATTCTGGGCAATTAACTAAAAAGTTGCCCTCTTATAGTTCTGCTTTTAAGACTATCCTACACAAAGAAGTGTAGATGGTTGAACCTAAAAGCAGAGTTAGGTCATAACATGCCCAGTTAGCAATACCAGTAACACAAACTTTTTAGCGGCATCTGAAAATCATCTTAAGTCCTTTTTCTTCCCTGCAAATGCACTACTAGTTACCTGGAATACATATTATTGTTTTATCTTTTTACATAGATCTTCTAAGCAGTCATATGACCTCAATCTTTGACAGACACATGTGCATACATACACATGTCAAAGACACTTCGGGGGCCCCAAACCTAACAAATTACAGTTAAGATACAAAGCACCCTGTGCTTAAAACTAAAGCAAAACAAAATAAAACATTTATAACAGAAACTATGAATAACTCAGTACCTTCTGACAGCAATAAAAATATGTAATTATTTTTTTCTGAAAATGTCAGATTATTACTTATTTAGGGAGAAATATGTGATTGCTTTCTGGGTCCAACTTAAATGGTTGATGTGCAGGGAGATATTTCTAAGAATGATAACTCTTCAATATGTGAAGTATCCCCAGTTTGTATCCTTTTACCTCTCTCTCTTTCCCTCTTTCTCATGAGAAGCCATTGCTCCGCAAACTTTTAAAAGAGCTTATTGTAACTTCATTCCACATGTATTCAGATTTCTCAATTGCTAAACAAGCTTGAAAAGGTGTATCAAAGGTACTTTTTCAAAAGACAACTGGGCTGTTTTTCTTTGAGTAGGAAGAAGAAAACGTTTAGCTTCTCAGCCAAAAAACTTTATCAGTTCTGATAATGAGGGAGTGAAAGGATAGGTTCTAATAGTTGGGAGGGTGGTGGGATGAAAGGATTGTATTTGCCACATGGGGGTTTATCAGTGCCCTCAGGATCACATAAATCAGAATGCAATTGGTTGTGGATTTTTCTTGGAACTGCTGACAGGGCTGCATTGTAGACTGGAGATAGGTAATGTCTTATTCCTCCTCCTCTGTTGAGGGAGTGGTATTCAATTCTAACATAGATGGATTCTTTTACCCTTCTTTCAAATCAACGGTCCTCTCTATCCTATTGTCTCATTTCATATCAGCTTCAATCATCATCAAAGTCCACATTTTGGATAGAGAGAGGACCGTTGATTTGAAAGAAGAATTTTATCAGTTTTATGTCTTTTGGCCTGTGAAACACTTTGAAAGAGAGTTTAGCGCAAGCTATACTCTTTCAGGTGCATCACGAAATTACCCTCTCTGTTTCAGAATCCAATCCAAAGATATTGCTTTGTTTTGCATTTCTCTGAGACATCTCACCTGGCAGTTACTCTAACAGGCTTTTGTATACATACTGTGCACATATACAGTAAAAGCCTTTTCTAAATATTCCAGTCAGCTAGAAGTTCTAGAAGAAGTTTCTGTATATAAACAAACCATGCATAGAAATCTCATTTACGGGCTGGAAGAGGCCTTGAAGTGTTACAAATTGCCTCAGTGAGGTAAATCACATCTCCATGGAAAATTGCCTTGAGAAGCATGGTTACTTTGAACATCTCAAGTTTTTTTGCATTAAAAAAAATCTCATTATTGTGAACATGTATGAAATAATATTCCTTTGTTCATTGTTTTTAGGATAGTCAGTATCTAAATAAACAGATACATGTAAAACTGCAACTTGAGACAAGCTTAATGCATTTCTCTAAGCATGAGCTGTGACCTTAAGCATTTTAACCAGAAGTACCCCAGATACATTATTTGAACATTGTTGTTCTCTGCATTTTCTAGCCATTTTTAATACATTTATATTGGAATGTTTAAAGCTGTGAATACAATAGGCAACAGTGAACTGATAACTGATTCCCATGTATTGTTAAGAAGTGCATTTTTTCTTGCAAGCAAAAACCCATCATAGTAACATTGAATATCAAATGATGTAAACATCAGTCCCATTCCATTTCTTTAAAATTTAATATTTGCTTCACTTTTTTCTGGTTTCAAATAAGACAACTTCTTTATACTTACTTATCTATCAGAATGGTATATCTATCTTCTGTTAAACACTTGGATAGAAAGATACAGATGTTTTATATTATATCAGGGCCCCATATACAAAACTGTACATGATTTCCACCCCTTACTCTTGGTGAAGAAAGAAATTCCTCTGGTTTTACACAGTGTATATCCTGTGTAGTGTTTTCAGTTATCCTAATCACCAGAAGGTGAAACATGATCAATTTTAAACCTTATTGGAACCTTATTTCTGCATGAGAGCCCATTCTGGCTATATTTTCATTGTTTCCATTTCATTTAAGTCTCTGTCCTTTACTTCCAAATGTTTTCATGCTTATCTATGTTTGCATTCTTCTTTTCACAAATTACATTTTAGAAGTCCTTTGTTGCTTGGTATCACTTCCTCTGTTTCACATCTTCATTTTTTCTCTTTTATTGTCCCTTATCTATGAAACTGTAACAGACTACAGTCATTCAATTGATTATCTTCCTCTTTAAAAATAGCAAATACCTTGAGACCCTTATTTGAATGAATACATACAGTAGTTATTTGTTCTAATATTTGATATCAAATTTCATTTACATGCAAACTGGAGGCAACTGAATGGCTTTTTGAAATATATTTCTCATAAGATCTAGTTTCTAAAAACTCTTTACAAATAAAAATAAATGATAATAATAATAGCAAAATAGTAGCAATAATCTAATTACCAGTTCTGAGCTGCAAGAATCAAGTTGACCATTAGATTGTAAAAAACAGTGATTATCTAGATGTTTTCAGCTCAGATCTTCATCCCTAATAATAGAGATCATCATCTTTTTAGCCATTGTCTACCCATTGCAGGATGAAGCCCTCTTCCACTTATTTCCAATTAATATGGTCCTGAGTTTTCTTTTGCCAATTGGGCCTATAATACTTGCTGATGTTGTTGATCCATCTTGTTTTAGTTCTCTTTTGTGGATGCTTTCTATCAAGTGGGATCCATTCTATGACTGCCTTGGTCCACCTGCCATCTCTCACACATCAAAAATATTTCTTTATTTTCCTTGCAACTAGAAATTCTCCCCTTTCTGAGAGGGAAATTATTAAATTCCTTAGATTAGAAAAATTAGAGCTACAAGGTCTGGGTTCAAAAAGTTGAACTACTACTATATTTTCCAAAAAATAAGATCAGGTCTTATATTAATTTTTGCTCCAAAAGAGGCATTATGGCTTGTTTCCAGGTGATGTCTTATTTTTTGGAGAAATATGATACTAAATGCCTCAGTCTGGTTAATGATCTTAACTGGAGCTTATTTTGGGGATAGGGTTTATTTTACGAGCATCCTGAAAAATCATGCTAGGTCTTATTTTCAGGTTAGGTCTTATTTTTGGGGAAATACGGTATTAGATGACAGGAAAGAGATATGTATAGAGAATTCTAACTTTTTGTTGCCTTCTAATACTTGCTTGGATTTATGCAGTTCAGATACTTAAGATTCCAAGGTACTCTTGGAAACCCAAAGATGAAACCAGCAATCCTTCTCTCTTGGAACAGGCAACTCAAATAAGCTGCCTTAAATTGTAGAGAACTGGGAGAGCAAGCCCTGATCCCTCAACAATAACTGGAACAAGGCTAATTTTTTGGATTTTTGTTACATTTACTAAATATTGCCTAATGCTTTAATTTTTGTTTAGACTTTGTGTCTGTTGACTCAATGCACCATGAATCTCATCAGGATGCTGCAATACAATATTGATGATTATGTTTTTTTAAACATAATATATAGTATTTATGTTAATAAATACTATTACCAGATTGGCAATTCCTGGATTATCAATTATCTGAATTGAATCCAATCTTGTTTTAGCCCATTTACTTTTCTTTAGAAGAAAATATCTGATAAGAGTTCTGAAATCTATAGCTATATTACTTTCCAAAGTTCTGGGTCTATGTCTCCAATTGCTTTCTTTGTGAGCTTTCTGCGCAGTTTTATTCTCTCTGTCTCTGTGTCTGTCCCCCGCCCCCTCCCCATCTCTATATGACAAATATGTGTTATCTTATTTTTCTGTTAATTCCCCTGAGGAGATCTATTGCTTTATCTGTTGCATAAGTCTTCAGAGGCATTGAGTGTCTATAGTCTAGATAATTCTGCATATCACTGAAAAAGCTGCCTGTAAGAAATCTGGTTTGGAAGCAAAAATTGTCTGCTTTATGACTTCTAAGAAATCTTTCATTCTATAGTTACAAAGTGAAAAACAAAACATTACACAATGAAATTTTATTCCCTTAATATGTTTTGTAGAATAGAGAGATATGAATTGGAAAATGCTGAAAAGAGATAAAGAGAAGGAATCGAGTGAGAGAAGTATTTGAAATGTCAATATTAATCCGTTTCAAAGTGGATTTTGTTCTTTAAGCCAAATACACAAATCTCTGTGTCTCTTTGTGTTTGACAGTGTGTTTAATAACACTGATATTTTAAAAAAATATTACCCAAAGAAGGGACTGAATATGTATGATAAAATAAGAAGAGGTAAGGACAAGAATGTATAAGTGATTAAGGACCCTGGTTTGAATAGTTATATGAGTGACCTGAAAGATTTTCTTTTCTATCCTGCCTTTACTTTTGTTTTGTTTTTTGCTTAACAAGTTTTTCTGTATTTCATATTGGACTGTATGACTCCAGTCCAAGGTATATTTCTACCTTCTAAACTGCTCTTGATCTATGTCATGCCATCTTAACACTAGAACAGGTTTTTCGAAAAATACCTGTCTGGATGGATACACCTTATATTATAGCCAGAGAAGTCAATTGACATAATTACATTCCTAGAATAAAAAAAAAACAAATAAGATGGTAATTTTTTTATTTAAAAAAAAAGTACTGTGGGAAGGAAAACGAAACTCTCCACCATTCAAGCTTTCCTCCACTCCTCATCTGACTTTTCAGTTGAATTCTAGACAAAAGATTATAGATTACATTTAAATAGATTTAACATCAAGGTTGAAAGACATGTTTAAACAAGGTTGAAATTAGCAAAAGGTATCAGCTGCCTCAAATAAAGAAAATTTCTTCAGTATATCAGGAATTTCTCCCTTTCACAATAGATTTTAAGGTCTTTTACTCCCAAGATCATCACCCTGAACTGGTAAAAGTAAAATCACAAGTTTGGTACCTAAGCATAGAGTCCTCCCTTTTGGCCAATCAACTAAACTGCAGCCTTCAAGGAACAAAAAAAGGTACTTTCCTGTAAAAGAAAGTACTCTGGGTAAATTGATATGTGTTCACCTCTGAACAGCTGATCTTCTACTTTGCTTGTATTGTGCCTTCAGAAATAACTTTCTCCTCTGCTTCAAGCAGAGGAGTTTGTTCTTTCAAACCCAGATTAAAATGAACTAGATTCCAACAAAAAACAGAACAGCATCACCGGCTCTGCTTTTAGTTAGTAATTGCCATTTATCTGCAGAAAACAAACTGGCTGAGCTGACTGGCCAGTTCTCTGCTGAAAAGAAAGACACAGGAAGTACATTGATATTCCTATCCTAGCCCCACCTCCACAAGTGATGTCACAATACAAGTAAGCAAAGGAGAGATTCTATAGTCAACATCATAGAGGGGCAGGTGTTGGCATACTGTAATTTGTCCTGGTTTGCTGCAGCCAGCTCTGAATCGTAGGTTGCTATAAATCACCACTGTGGATACAATTATGTCACTGGGCTACAAAAACACCCTAACATGCATTTTAAAGTGTATCAACAGAAGCACAGTTTTCAAATCACAGGCTGTCATATTGCTAGTTTAAACTCTTTTTGCTCTATTGGATGCCTACGTCTCCTGGGAAACCTCTAGCAGTTTTCATCAAATTACTATTCCTATACAACCATCCTAGTTGTACATAAGATTCTAATTTTATATCCTTTGCTTTCCTTTGAATGAACCAATTTATATTGATAAAGGTCAGATAAATTATTCCATTCAGATGGGCAGTTCTGCCCAGCACTTGCTGAAGAACCTAGATGCCTTCAAGGACACCCTAGTATAGCGGGCATTAATAAACATGGAAACACATGGGTTAGATAGAAAAATCTACTTTTGTCAGCAAGGATTGGGAATTATGAGTTAAAATTGAATGAAATGCATCTCTCATAAGAACAGACAAAAGTGAGGAATTGATAGCAAATTTCTTCCAACTTTTTTTTTTTTTTTTTGCACCACTTTTCTTTCTGGACTCATCTAAGTATAATGGATGAAAAGTCCTGCCTCAATGCAAAGGATTTGTTTCAATAGCTTTTTATTCTATTTGGGTCCATGAATTTTTGCTTTCATTTGTAAAGCCAAGACGTTTTTTGTTTGTAATATAATCAGTTTGAAGCTATCCACTCCAATGCTTGTTCAACAATATCTCAGTTGAACAATTCAACAAAACAGCAAGTATATCTTAGTTTAAAAGCTGTCTCTTTTTTTGTTAAACCAATACAAGAGTAGTACATACTGTAGACTACTAATTGGAGAAGGTGAAAATGCTGGGGTTGCAAGTAAAAAAGGTGACAATTTCCTTGGTGATAAATTTGAACTGGTAACTGGTCACCAGGAGTGCTGGGCTCTTTAAAGACAATCACCGAGAAAAGGAAGATGATAATAAGTGGATTCCTGTTTTAATTTAAAGCATGACTATATGAAAGAAAAGTGAACATTTTCTGTTTGTTTATGATATGTTATTCAGTTAGTTACTGGCAAATCCATCATGAAGAGCAAGACAAAGAAATCACTGAGCTGAACTATGCTATAGTTTTTTATATGTGAGAACAGAAATGAATCAGCCTTAGGCTACCATGTCACTCATACCTATGAGTACACAATTGAATTTACAAAGAAATGTTTGGAAAATGTCTATTTTTATTTTAGATTAGCTCCAATTTAACATACGTACTATTCTAATGTAGTTAAGCTTTAATAAATGGAAATAAACAACTTCTAATTAGGGATTTTAAATCTATCTTATTTATCTAACTATAGTTAAACAGTTAAAGATTCTGATGCAATAGGGAATTGTAATTCATACACAGTGTAATTAGAAACTTGATATATTCCTCTCAGCTGTGCCTGAGAAAGTGAGAAGGAAAATAAAGGAACCTGAAGCTTTCTGTGGTCTGTATATTTGAATGGAGTCTTTCCAATTCAGGTGTTTTTATGATTACATACAAATGTAATGAATTAATTTTCTTCAGCTATCATTCATTTAATAAAGTAGAACAGATTGAACATTTATTCAACACTACCATGATTTTTATTTAATGTACATCGACTTCAAGATACTTGATGAGTTTTATAACACATATTTTCTTTATTCTTGGATTTTGAAGATTAAGCCAAAGAAGGGTAGGATTAGTAAACCATAAATTACTTCAGCTTTTAGCATTTCATGAAAATGAAAGGATGCTTAAATTAAAATGTTTTATGTAGTGTACCTGTGAATAAACTCTTGTCAGTAATATTCCCGGATGTAACAACAGCTCTTTCCTCAGCCAAGTCAGTCCAAAACATTTAAGTGGCTGAAAAGACTGTTAAAACTGTGCATCTTGTCATTCCAGATATAGATATAGATATATTCCTGCTTAGAAAGGGCTGTAAAGCACTATGAAGTGGTATATAAGTCTAAATGCTATTACTATTGCTATCAAGGAACCATGACCCAGAATTTTTTTCCCTAACATTTCACTATAGCTTCTCCCTAACTCCTGCACGAAATGGTTATATTTGCTGAATATGTGTGCTTACCCAATGTCCTGTGTCCTAGTATGGTTAAAACATGTTGGGAATTGAATCAGGGACTTTCTGTAAGCAGGTTCTCTAAGCACTGAGCATAGACCATTCTCTCTCTCTCCTGTCTTTAATATGATAATCATAATTGTCAAATGACTACAATGTAAAATGTGAACTAGTCTAAGATATGCATGAAAGAATTTCCTCTTGAATGTAACAATTTTCTTCCTATATATCTCAATTGAACTCAAATACCTATTTCATTATTTCAGGATCTTCAATTAAGATGCTTTATTCTTTTGTTCTATATATAAATAAAACTATCTCCTATTACAATATTTTATGCAATTAGACTGTAAATAATTTACATTTTCTTATCCACTCAAATTTCCTGTAATTGATCTTGAAAGCTGAATATCTCTATCATAATTGTCCTGGCAATAGTTATTCTCTAGGTGTCTGGTTGGCTTCAAAACCCTATTTTATGACATTTTCAATCTTTGAAAATGTGATACTGAGAGAAAATACCTGATGCCTGGGAGCTTAAAAAAAAACCCCAACCACCTGGCCATTTTGGGCTTGATGTTATTTCTATACTGCTTCTAATTAGTTTGCACTGAATTGCAAGTGTGATTCTGTGTGTCTCTCTATGTAGACAGGTATAGATGATGAAAGGGATAAAGATAGAGTTGATAGAGACAGAGATAATGATAGAGATTCACCTGATTTCCATGGAAGCAATGGTGGATTGAAGACAACTTCACTTGTAGTGGAGCTGACAACTATCACAGAAAGGAGAGCTGGTGGATAAATCGGCTCCCTGAACTCCTCTCTACATTAAGGAGATGATTTGGGATTGCCCAGAGTACTCCTTATAGATGGGACAGTGAAACAGTGGCCTCCAGCAAGTTTTAGAACTCTGGGAGCCAGGAGAATCAGTTTTCTTCAAGTATCAGTTCAGAGACTTCAAAAGGATGTTGGGTTCCCCCACTTCCCAACTTAATTACCATTATTGGAAAAAGCTTGTATTTTTTTTTATATTAAGAAACTTTAGAAGGACAAGCTTCATGACAGTGGGTGATCTTCCTTCAACCCATGGTGAAAGGAAGCTTTAAATATGTTTATAACTTTTAAAAAGTCTGCTTTATTTGGAAATAAGCAGCAAAAGGGTGATTTGAATATATATTTTATATTCAAAAAAATCTATGGTGGTGTCTGATAACACCTTGAAGTTTGGTTATCAGACACCACCAGAAAGAATGAAAGATTACAATTAAAAGGAGAAGACTCACTAATATAGAATTCAGAAAAAACAATGGAAACCTAACCAAAGTGGATTTCTATCCAAATGGGATTTTCCCATGAATTTTTCCATGGATGAAAATAATGGCAATCGTAAATATAAGCTTATTGAAAGGATTACAGTACTAATTGGCTGTTGATTTGCTACAAGCTTAGAAACCTACAACTGTGCTAGTGATGTTTCCAATAGCTCTACAAATAAACAAGGCAAATTAGATTTCTTTTGTAACAGAAATGCAGCCATGGCAACAACACTAGCGTCAGCCTGCATCACGAAAGGCTTTGCCGGATCTGGGTGTCGGAGGACTGGTTCGTTCACGAAAAGTGCCTTTAGGCATTCAAATGCTTCTTGGCACTCAATGGTCCAGTGTATCGGGTGACCGGCCCGGGGCTTCCCTCTGAGGTGTTTTGTTTTGAGGAGATTGGTTAATGGTAGACACCTGGGCAAACAAAGGGATAAACTGGCGGTAGAAATTGGCAAACCCCAGGAAACTTTGTAATTGTTTTTGGGTCCTGGGCGCCTGCCAGTCTATCACCGCTTTGACCTTAGCCGGGTCCATCTCCACTCCTACTGGAGATATGCAAAACCCTAGGTAGTCCAATCAGGTCCGGTGAAACTCACATTTCGATAGTTTCACATACAATTGTACGTGTAACAGTTTCTCCAGGACTTTACGGACTGAGGTGATGCGTTCATCTATGATCTTAGTATAGATGAGTATATCATCAAGTATATCATCAAGATACACCAGTACCCATTATATAGATGTTCATGCAGCACCTTGTTGATTAGCCACATGAACACTCTGGGGGCGGTGTGTGTGGAGTTTTCTTTATACACCGGAACCTGACAGTTTGTTGGAGCTAATGCTTTGTGCTCCCCACCACCTTATAAAGCTTTATCACCCAGGTGACTCTTAACCCAGCTCCTCCCCGCTCATTAATCATTGTTCCCTTAGATACTGCAATAAGCATTACTCCCACATGCTCCCAGCTTGCTGGCTACTCCTCCAGATAAGCCATCATTACAGCCATTTCCAAACCTCTCCATGGCCCTCAGTCTCTCAGCCTCTCAGCCTCCCCCAACAGCTGCTCAGTCAGCAGCTCCCAGCTGCACTCGCTGTCCAGTCCATTCAGAAAGCTTGCTGCCAGGCCGGGAGATGACGAGGAGGCAGACAAGGAGGGATCTTCATGTTGCTTGGTGGCCAGGAGGTAAGCTGAGGAGCCAGGGTGCCATAGGAGCAGCCCCTTTGCCAGAACCTCTGCACCCACTGGAATGGCAGTCCTGACATGCA